TTATGCAACAGACTTCTGTCATAATATGTGATTATTTCGATATTTTTATGTTGCCGCGGTTACTTTTCTTGCTGTTCGTTTACGCTGATGTAGTGATTTTCACTCGGTTTCAAAGAGTAGTGCTGCTGAAAGTAAAGACCATTATATATACTTACAAATTCTGTTTTCAACCATACCACACTAAAAAGACGTGAGATTCACTCCCCTGTTTTCAACCATACCACACTAGAAAGACGTTAGATTCACTCCCCTGTTTTCAACCATACCACACTAGAAAGACGTTAGACTCACTCCCCTGTTTTCAACCATACCACACTAGAAAGACGTTAGACTCACTCCCCTGTTTTCAACCATACCACACTAGAAAGACGTTAGACTCACCCCACTGCTTTCAACCATACCAGACTAGAAAGACGTTACACTCACTCTACTGTTTTCAACCATACCACACTAAAAAGACGTTAGATTCGCTCTACTGTTTTCAACCATACCACACTAAAAAGACGTTAGATTCGCTCCCCTGTTTTCAACCATACCACACTAGAAAGACGTTAGATTCACTCCCCTGTTTTCAACCATACCACACTAGAAAGACGTTAGACTCACTCCCCTATTTTCAACCATACCACACTAGAAAGACGTTAGACTCGCTCCTCTGTTTTCAACCATACCACACTAAAAAGGCGTTACACTCACTCCCCTGTTTTCAACCATACTAAACTAGAAAGACGTTAGATTCACTCCCCTGTTTTCAACCATACCACACAAGAAAGACATTAGACCCATCCCCCTGTTTTAACCTAAACCGCACTAAAAGGATGTTAGACTCGCCCCCTGTCTTATATCGGGATTACTAAAAATATTTTATTGATCCCCGTTGACAAAGCTAGCTAGCTCTTCGCAAAAATGAAAGGATCTCCTTTTTCTTTGTTTTTTTCTAGAACAACACACTATTGTTCAGTCACCAAGATAGATCGGATTTTTCCATCCAGGATTGAAAGAGTTTATCAACAATGCATGTGCAAATATTTTAGTCCAACATGTCTGGAATACCTTGACAAAGAAAGAGTCTCTAAGCCTATTTGTATCGAGCATTTACATTCAACAGTGCGCATGAAAACCTGAGCGAATTTTGTAAAAGTAAAACATTTATGCGGTTTCAAATTCTCATAAATTAAATCTTGAAAGTCGTGCGTCGGATTGTGGACTTGAAGATCCAAGGTTCGCGCCTCGATGTCACTGAACACGTCCCGCACCTTCAGCTGTACGTTTGTTATAACGGTTACATTCAATTCAAAGAGCTTCACAAAGTCTTTGTGGTAGAGGGTGCTGCTGATTGGCTGACATCCCTCTGGCCAGTAGTTGAAAATTAGGGACGTCTCCACCTGAACTACTTGGAATCTCTGTATTGGCCATTTCGCTCACGTGTCGCATAAGATGCCGTTGACCTTGAAAATACCATTACCATATAAGGGATGTTATTTTACCGATTAAAAACAGTCTTAGTAGTTTCTGTTTGTTTGTTTTAAGCGAAGAGTTATGGCTACGACAAGAATAAATCCCAGATTTTTGGCTTTATGAAGCCTCAAGATTACCCGCTGGGCCACTAAGGTTGGCTGATTGGGCCCAGTTTTAGCATATGAAAGTATTAGATCTGATGAGACAAAATCTATACGGCCTGATGGTTAAGACGATTAACTCGCAATCTGTGAATCGCGGGATCGAACCCCGTCACCGAACATGCTCGCCCCCTTTTAGCCATGGGGGCATTATAATGTGACGGTTGATCCCACTATTCGTTAGTAAAAGAGTAGACCAAGAGTTGGCGGTGAAGTGGTGTTGACTAGCTGCCTTCCCTCTAGTCTATCTCTTCAAAAGTAGGTAAAAGAGTAGACCAAGAGTTGGCGGTGAAGTGGTTATGACTAGCTGCCTTCCCTCTAGTCTATCTCTTCAAAAGTAGGTAAAAGAGTAGACCAAGAGTTGGCGGTGAAGTGGTGATGACTAGCTACCTTCCCTCTAGTCTATCACTTCAAAAGTAGGTAAAAGAGTAGACCAAGAGTTGGCGGTGAAGTGGTGTTGACTAGCTACCTTCCCTCTAGTCTATCACTTCAAAAGTAGGTAAAAGAGTAGACCAAGAGTTGGTGGTGAAGTGGTGTTGACTAGCTGCCTTCCCTCTAGTCTATCACTTTAAAGTAGGTAAAGAATAGACCAAGAGTTGGCGGTGAGGTGGTGTTGACTAGCTGCCTTCCCTCTAGTCTATCACTTCAAAAGTAGGTAAAAGAGTAGACCAAGAGTTGGCGGTGAAGTGGTGATGACTACCTTCCCTCTAGTCTATCACTTCAAATGTAAGGACGACTGTTGCAGGTGGCCCTCCTGTAGCTTTGCTTGAAATTCAATAAACAAACAAAATGCTTACTTCGTCCGCCTTAACTCTTTACATATAGTACGGTATGCGTGCACGTTACACTTCAAAGTTATGGCCACATCAATACTCTAAACAACTTACGTTTGTTTTTCTTCAGGTGCAACATGTCTTGGCTTCTGTTACCGTTGACATCGTTTTCTGGGGGTAATTTAAAACACTTACATCTAGCAGTGGTAAGTAGATATAAATAACTGGTTTGATTTGCTCGTGCGGTTAGAGAGAGGGGGGTTATATATATATATATAATTAATTGCAATATTACGTAGAACATGAAGAGAAAAGAGAAAATAAACAACGCAGCTACAAAACAGACATGTATCACCTGGGTAGACACCATAAGGTGGGTAGGTGTGCTCTGGTTTTCATCTAAGGTTGTGTAAAATCTACGTTATTCTTCCTTATGATGTGATCTTTGTTTTTTAATCATATATATACACGTGTGTGCGTTTGAAGTCTACGAAAGATAGATTAATCACAGCTTTTCTTCCGCTCTCCAATGAATAAGCTAGATTTTTTTTAATCAAGTACTTACTTCAAATTGTTCAAAAGGACAGAGTCAAGCTGAGTGCAAACTAGGATAACAGACATCTGTCATAAAAGTTTTAGTTTCAAGGCTTGATGAACTCCTATAAACAAAGAGAGAGAGAGAAAAAAAGGAAGCAATATTCGTTACCACTCGTTTTAAATGTGAGCATTAATAACAGGACCACCACACAAGAAAAGACTGGATTCTTGAACCTCTACCATGCTGTGGCAAGACGTTGATGAAATGTATAGATAACGTGCTGAGTGATGCCATTTGTACATTTGGGGATCCTCGTGATGTCTATTGCACAATAATCACGTTTAAATGTGCTATCAGAAATATTGTGATCAGGTGGTATTTGTACGGTTTGATTTAGTAAACATTTCTGGCATGGGCTATTGGTTAGAGTTTCTTGGCCGTGAATCCTCAGGTTCGTGGCTCGTTACTGCAGCTGATTTTAGATATACACCTTTTTCTAGTTATAGAAGCGATTGTTTGTTTGTTTGAAGTTAAGAACAAAACTACGCAATGGGCTATCTGTGCTCTTCTCACCACGGGTATCGAAACCCGGTTTCTAGCGTCCCGTAGGCATTCCGCTGTGCCACTGGGAGGGGGTCAGTTATAGAAGTATATATTCATTATATGGAAAAATATGTACACCCATTATATGGTTATAAATGTACACCCGTTACGTGGGGTAGTTTTATTAAGTGATCAGATGATGGGTTCTTTAAAAAACTTAACACGTGGTAAAAAAAATGTTAAGTTTGAATATCTTATGGTAAACTATGCAAGCATATGACGTAGAAGCAGTGCTGTTTGTAGAATGTTAACACACACATATAGAAATATATACTATACATAACAACACCTTTACCCAGTTTCTATAACCAAACACCTGAGGAAGAACGTTTGCCCTGAAAGTTTTAATAATGTAATAATAGCACGTACGTTATAAGCACGCGAGCGCCTGCGCACGCACACGTACAAGGAATGGGCGTGCCCTACTGGTTATCTTTTTCGGAATCCGATGAATCCATGGTTCGACGCCCTTTCGAACAAGGACTATGTCCGCATTTTGCAGACGCGGGGGGGGGGGG